GTCAGTTAAAGTTGAAAACATTTTCTAACAAATCTTAGTTGATAAGAAAAGCCAAATAACTTTTTAACATAACAAGTTTGAAATACACCCTTCCTATTTCTCCTTATTATTAGCAAACTGATGCTTCTGTTTTAAGGGATGAGCTGTACACTTTTAGTGACAAAATAAAGTAAACCCCATGGATATCTGTGAGGGAATTCAAGTATCAAGCATCATTTACCTACATTTGATTGATTGTGCTGACTTATAACTTAACTTATGAGGCAATGAACCTCTCCTCTAGCGAGTGGCCCAGCCCTTCGTATATTTTTCTGTTTGTGGCCCTTGGAATATAAGATAAATAGGTTTTTTTAAAGGTGCAAGCAGATGTTGTTTCAAAGTTCAGGTGTCTAACAGTCTGTGGAATGAAACTGTCCCTGACTCTGGTGGTTTTAGACCTGATGAAAAATGCTTGTTTTTAAAGAACTAGTACCTTTAAATTGCACTTTACATTGAATAGATGTTATTACAAGAGGTGGGGGAAGTACTCACATCTTGTACTTGAGTAAAAGTAGAAGAACCAAAGTGTAGGAATACTCTGTAACAAGTCCTTTATTAAAGAAGAGTAACTTACCCAGGTCCCGTCGGGTCCAAACAGTTCCAGGAAGTTTCCGATGAACTCTCTGGATTTCTCCTCCCACTTCTGGATGAGGTCGGCGCTCTTCTCCTCCACCCGGTAGACAAAGTGTTTGCTCTTCTCCTCCACCGTGCGCACCTTCTCCTTCATCCGGTCCACCTGGTTCTGCAGCCGGTACTTCTTCTCCTGAGGGGAGGAAAATAAATAGCTACATCTGAATCTTTATTAAGCTTAGTGCCTAAAACGTATTCCAACCAATGTGTCCTAGTGGTTGTGTTACTTTGTTCTGTCTGCTCTTTTTGACTGTGGACTGTACAATGTGTTTATGTAAGCAAAGGATGTAACTTCTTCTCCTGAGGGGAGCCAGAGAGGTGAGGAAAATACATTGTTAAAAAAGCTTTGAGATCCCTGAAAAAATCTAAATCTTAGACTTTGTAACCTGAGATGTCGTAAAGTAGTCTAAAACGTATTCCAACCCATGTGTCTCGCCTTAAAATGTTGCTTGCCATAAAATGTTATATTCATTATGTTTTTAAACCAACATTACTTCCAGATATTCATAATTATCCGACACTTCTTTACAGAATGTTTCCTGAATATTTAGGGCCTTTGATGACATACCAATTATGCTAAAATAATATTTTATGGATACTTCTTGCTAAATTACATATAATGCATACAGAGAGATGATGACATGCAGAATCTAGTGGCTTCACTTCCTGCCCCAGTGTGTTTCTCGCCTCTGTGATTTCCTGCCCCGCCCTGATTGGTTCACCTGTTCTTAATAACCCTTCCTCATGCAACAAGACATTACAGTAAATAAAGAAAAAAGGAAAGACAAATACATGTTGATACTTCAGATTAAATATTTTTTAAATAACAAATTAGTTTTATATTTTATATTAGCTAATATATTGTTTAAATTCTTGATAGAAAAAGTACAAAATGTGGTTTGGAGTTAGCCCATTTCTTTTTATGGATATGAAATTTCCCTAAAAATACAATTAACTTCACCAAAAAGACAAAATCTGCATCCCTGAAGTACGTAAGAGTGTCTTTGTCCTGGAGTTAAACCTTTTGTCCCGTCTTTCTTCTAATAAAACATTCTACATCATATCAACAATATTCTACAATACAAGCATTCATAAAATAAATGGCCAATAGTCTCTAGTTGTAGATTACAAAATGTACAGGAATATTCAATATCAAGTCCAAACTTGTCACACCCTGACATGCTGGTGCTCTTACGTTGATGTAGCTGACGTTGAGCTCCTTGGCCGTGTATCCTCGTTGGAGGTTGCGTCGGGCGTAGACGTCGTAGTCTCTGACGATCCTGGTGATCAGGTCCGATGTGGAGATGCCTTCTGTCCGCTGAGTAGGAACAAACATCCCTGAAACACACACATAGAAACACAAAGCTTTCAAACTGCTTGAGGTACATTTTACTGTAAGAAGACTGAACATCTTCCTGTAACACTGACCTGCCTCCTTGATGTGTTTGTAGACATCCTCACTCCCTGCTGAGGAGTACGGGATGTCATCGTGAGCCACAAAATCGATCTGAGGAACATGAAAGGACATGACTGTGAGCCAGAAAACTCTGGCACAAAATATAAATACTTAAAGTAGTACATGACAAGGGTTGGGTCATAAGCACACAGGTGTCTCATCCCAAGTCGTTTTTGTAAACGGTGCCAGAAGTTTCCACAAAGACTCTTAAAGGTCACCTATTCTGCAAAATCCACTTCCTCATGTCTCTTCTACATCAACATGTGTCCCCTCTTCCTCATGTCTCTTCTACATCAACATGTGTCCCCTCTTCTTCATGTCTCTTCTACATCAACATGTGTCCCCTCTGTGGAAAGAGACTCTCTCTTTTTGTCCTGATCCATTTCTATAAAAACCTGTCTGAAAATGAG